CCGATGATTAAGGTAGAGATTTGCATGAGGAAGGCAGTTCCATTGTATGGGCATTCAGCAGACCAGGTACGTGCTGCCCAGCCCAGGATTTCCGCTGTGATGGCCGAGTTAGCGTACGGTTGAATGGGAATCCTGTAGGAGGGGTTGACTTACTGATACACCCAAGAACGAAAACAGCGCACCACCAGGTCCTCTTCCACACCAGCTGCAGTGTGTGGAGCAACATCGACAGACCGAAGAGGACACAGAATACAATGCCGGCAGCTAGCGAGGGAACATAGCCATACGATGTGCCGTAGCCATCGATCTTTGCATGACAACCATAGGTCAATTGCTTCTTGAATTCATATTCCGCAGTAGTGTTAAGGCTCGACATATTGGCGCAAATGGAAGGCCGAGGTGGTCGAGACCAGGTTTGCCGAAGATTATATGGCGAAGCCAAGCGATTCTTGGACAGAGTAAGGAGAGAAAGCGGTTTTGAGGCAGCGAAACACGCTGCAGATTAATATACGATCAGAAAACAGAAAAAACGAATGACACCGAACGGGCAGGCTGAGCGCTAATCGAGCCTAGAGGGGTTGAGCTATTTGCTGTTGGACATAGATATATGCCTATGAATATGCACGGGGTACCAATCGGCGAAAAGAAAAGGAAAAACGGGCATCAGGAAGGAGAGGCTCTGCCTATAAAGAAGAAAAATGAGAAGAACTGTGATAGAAATCCTTCCAAACTCTGCCCCCATACTCTATTCTCGTCCGTTCGATAGTGATCCCCGTCCTCCTGACTGCCCGTCTCTGGGCGCCACCTGGTACGGCGGGGACACCCGTTGCAGGGAGCAATCTGATTGCACCTCATGAGAGTAGGCAGGGCCTGCCTTGCAAAAGAAAGCACTTCATTCGGCTAACAGACTGGCGAGACCCAAAAAAGAGTTGGGGGACGAGATGATAGCTCGCAAGGTTCGCTCAAAGAGGTTTAGCGCATTTCGCATGAAGCCGGTAACTCCGGCCTTTTCCATTAGACTGTTTGGCGATAGAATTGTGAACAGACACCTCCCTAAGATGATCATCCTGTTGTTGCTGTACGTAGTAAGGCAGCTCATCTGATAGGACCCTTGACTGTCAAGGGTTGTGGTTAGGACCGTTAGTTATGCCGTGTCACCGTTTGAACCCAGTAGAATCAATATATGTCATGCAGCCCAAGCAGTGATGCATGGCCAAGACCGATCGGGAAACAGGAAACCCGGGAGTCCGTCCACCGGGCTACCAGCAATAAGGAACAGCACGGAGTACAGTAAATAAATAGTTCTGAGACGGGATCGGAGCTATGATAAGGCCCGATGTTAGGTTGCTGAACATCGATTGAAACCTGAAGCTAGGCTTCTAGGCTTCAATCAGACATAATGGGTGGGATGTGGTCGTCGTCCCGATCACCCTAGTCAACACCAGGCAGGGAGAGTTAACTTAACAGTAACTCAGGCAATGCAAGCGAAAGAATAATTGATCGGTAATCACATGCAGGGAAGAGCGGAGAACTTCCTGCACCGGCAACATCCAAATACGGAAGGCGCGTCTTTGCAACCCCGCTACCCGCCTCAGGCATCAATATAATACTTCACTCCCTCCCTCCCTCCCCTCTCTCTCTCTCTCTCTCTCTGTCTCCCACGCAGCTTTCAGCTACCAAGTCTCAGCCTCTCACAACTACAAATCACTAATCACAGTCTTTCATGGCATGTTACAGAAATTTTCAGGATCACTCACTTCTTGGCGTTTCGAGTCTAGCCCCGTCAGTGAGAGTCTAGATGTCAAAAGCTCTACGTCCGTATGCTATGCTACGCTACTGTTATCCCTGCCTAATCAACGTGGCGCATCCCCGGCGGCTGCACAAAGACGAACAGTCTAAGATCCATTGTTCTCTAGCGCTGATAATAGGTCATGTCTTTTTCATATGCTTCACGCTTAGATCATCTTATTGACTCCACTCATTCGAATTCATTCGAACGAGGGCATATCATACGTATCATCCGGGTCTGTGCACAGTCAGTATGAGCAATATGCGACCGGTCCACGGCAGGTGAAGCTCTTACCTTTGCGGTTGGCCAGAATGTACTTGCGTGTCTCCACGATGTTGTGGTCGAATTCGCTGACCAGCTCGTGCTGCCGGATCTGAACCTTTTCATTCCGTCTGGATCCCCCGATCACGGCTGCCTTCGCCACGTGGTATCGCGAGACGTGATTCAACAACATCATATCGAATGGTGTCGTCGTGCTTCCTTCTTCCATGTATCCTTCCACTGAGACCCGGTCTAGGCGGGGCCGCCCAAAGAGTAGACCCTTTAGCTCGCCCGGGTATCCGTGGTAGTTGAAGTGTATCGGCCGGTCCGAGCCAAACAGGCTGTCGAAGGCTTCGGTGGACAATGCATGTGGATGTAGTCCTTCCTTCTCCAGAATCATCAGGTCGGTCACATTGACCACCCGCACCCGGAGTTCTGGACAACGCTTGCGGAGGATGGCCGCCGCGTAGATGACCTCGAACATCACCTCAACTCCAATGCCAACCAGCACAACATCCGGGTCCAGCCCATTGTCGGTGCTACAGAACCTCCAGATCGATGCGCCGGCTCGGCAGTGACTCTCTGCTTCCTCGGGACTCAAGTACACCGGAGTAGGCTGCTTTGAACCCACCATGAGGTTGACGTAATTCTTGGACTTGAGACAGTGATGAAGGGTGGTCAAAAATGTGTTAGCGTCAGGTGGCAGATAAACACGCGCGGCGGTGGGCTTCAGCCTGAGCACGGCTCCGATGAAGGATGGGTTCTGGTGAGAGAACCCATTATGCTCCTGACGAGCCCATGTACTCGTTTCGATATAGTTGATGCTACTGACCGGCTTGTGCCAGGTCGTCTCTTGAGCCTGTCGTGGCAGTATCCGTTAGTATCGGGTAATCCCAAGAAGAAGCACGACAGAAACATACCATTTTGTTGAATTTGGCATATTGCACCATCATAGTGTGGATGATTCCCAAGAAGCTTTCATACGATGGGAAAATGCCCACCCGGCCCGTCAACGTGTATCCCTGCATAAAGCCCTGGCACAGGTGCTCACTGAGCACTTCGATGACGCGGCCGCCTTTAGCATTCGAGAATTGATCCCACTGAAAGTTCCTTCCCGTGTGCGCAAGTGCTGCATCCAGCTTGTTGCTCTCTAGCTCGTCTGGTGAGAACACTCGGACGCCGTGGGGGTTTTGGGTGAACACCTGGTCAATGAACTTCCCAATAGTCTTCATAGCGCTCTGCTGGGAGCCCTTTTCTACAACAAACTTTTGCCAATTTGGGAGATCCGGTGCCCTATAGCCCTTGTAGGCTTCTGCTCGCTGGCCCAGCTTCTTGGAGTCTTCCAGAGGGATAACAGACTTGATTTCGTCAATAATATCTCCGGTCTCAGTAAAAAGTTCGTGCGGATTATACGAGGAAAGCCATTTCTGCAGAGCTTGAAGCTCCTCCTTGTCCTTCTTTGCATTAGGAAGAGGAACCTGATGCGAATGGAAAGATCCCTCTATGAAAGACCCGTGGAGCTCTTTAGGTCCTGACCAGCCCTTCAAGGACAATTAGCGGAGATTCAAGGTTAAGGCGGATATTGTCATACCTTAGGTGTGCGCAAAACAATCATTGGCCATCTAGGCTTCATTATTGGCTTGCCGGAACGCGCCGCTTTTTGGATCTTGTGGATCTCCTCAATTGCCCACATCATAGAGCCGTGGAGATCTGCATCGATGTCATCCAGGTTCTCAACAATGCGCACCTGGTATCCATAACCCGTGAAGAGGGAGACCAGCTCTTTGTTGTCCATGCAGCCATAGATGGTGCGCTCGCTGATCTTGAAGCCATTTACGTGGAGGATCGGCAGGACGGCACCCGATTCTGCAGGGTCAATGTACTTGATTGCATGCCAGGACCTGTCTGCTGTCAGATTGTGCTAGAATGGGGTATAGTTAGGTACTTACGTCGCGGTAGGACCAGTTTCTGCTTCTCCGTCACCAACCACGCAAGTGACGATCATGTCCGGATTGTCCATGACAGCACCAAATGAGACGGCCAATGCATAACCCAGCTCACCACCTTCATGGATTGCACCGGGGGTTTCCGCGTTGATATGGCTTAAAGAAGTTAGCTTGGCGTCAACTCAGATTTCCAGCCAAAGCCATACCTTGGCAAGCCAGCGCTTGTGCTGAAAGTCGAGATGAGCTCATGAAGACCATCCATGTCTCGTGAGTAATTGGGGTAGAATTTTTCAAGAGAGCCCTCGAGCCACAGCGAAGCCAGAATAGCTGGAGCGCCGTGTCCAGGCCCAACGACATACAACATGTCCAGGTTATGCTTTCTGATAATATAGTTCAAATGGGAGTATATGAGGATCAACCCGGGACATGTTCCCCAGTGGCCTACAGATCTGTGAGCGGAGCTTGCGGAGGATAGCACTGGGGGGATGGAGATACTAACCCAGAAGCCTTGGCTTGATATCCTCATGTTTTAGATTCTGTTTCAGCAGCACATTGTCCTGGAGAAAGATCATTGCTTGTGTGACGGGTCAGTGAATGTAGGCTGGATATTTGGGAGCCTCGATCTCACCAGCAGCAATGTAGGCCGCTGCTCGGCGGAATTTCAGCAGGGCATTGTAGTCAGATTCCTCCAAACTCGTCTCCTGGAGTTTGACCTGCAATTGATTGACAAGGTCGGGGATATGTGAAGGCTCAGCCTTGGGATTTGGCCTGTCGATGACCTCTCCAGGCATGGTGATTCGATGGATGTAGATTGGTCGCTTGGTCGCTTGGTAAAACAAAAGTTGTAGTATATCCGTGGAACTAAGTATTAGGGTCCGTTCGAGATCCCAGGGTCTATGGAGGGGTAGATCTAATAGCACGTGGAAACAAGAGAGTCTAGCCCACTTTCTGCAACTGTCAAAGATGGTAAAAGAAGGAGATCATACCACTGCCTCGACTGCACTGCTTTAAAATAAGAACAGGAAAGCAAGGTGGTGAGGTTGTTGTAGTATGGAGACCCCTGACAATACGTCACTCCCCGAGTGACATCACCCGCCGTCGCAACCGGGAACTGAGCTGCCACCACCAACAAGCATCAACCCACACCTTCCGAGATCAAGGCTCGACAAGGGTTCAGAAAGCCTATATTTGAATCTTTCTTTCTCTAGCAGCCAGCAAGCTAATTTATCGTGTCCCCGCACCCAATTGCTCCGCAACAACATGGCACGCAAATCCATCCTCTCCGTCAATGCCGGGTCCTCTTCGGTCAAGCTTACCTTCTATACCTACGAGAAGACTCCCAAGGTCATTGCTGCCGCGCAGGTTTCCGGTATCACTGCCCCACCAGCAAAGCTGAAATACACCAGTGGCGACAAGCAACACAAAGAGGAACTCAAGGAAAGCATCAGTACTCCTCAAGATGCCTTCAAATTTCTGCTTCAGCGCTGCATCTCTGATCCCGAGCTTTCCGAAGTCGCCAGCACAGATGATTTAGCCTATATCTGTCACCGTGTGGTGCACGGTGGAGACTACGACACGTCTGTTGTGATCACCGACGAAACTTATCATCATCTCGAGAAACTGGAAGACCTAGCTCCATTGCACAATTACTCCGCCCTGGAGATTATACGGCATTGCAGGAAGGAAATCCCATCCGTCAGGAGCATCACCTTCTTTGACTCTGCGTTCCATCAAACTCTTCCCGAACATGTCAAGACCTACCCAATCGACCAGAAGACAGCCAGGTCCAACGGGCTGCGGAAATATGGCTTCCACGGCATCAGTTATTCGTTCATTCTGCGCTCTGTTGCGGAGTTCCTAAACAAACCTGCTGACAAGACCAATATTATTGCAATGCATATCGGAAGCGGTGCTTCTATCTGTGCCATCAAGGATGGCAAATCAGTTGATACCACGTGAGATTCCCAGCCTTTGTCAATGGCCATCTATACTGACATATTCACACGTAGGATGGGACTCACACCGCTAGCCGGATTGCCAGGCGCTACACGAAGCGGAGACATTGATCCATCGTAAGTCCCAATATGCCCTGTTCAGGAAACTAAATACTGACAGAAGTCCAGCCTTGTGTTCCACTACACCAACGATGCAGGCAAACTCAGTCCTGCCAGCACCAAAGAAATGCACATCAGCACGGTACGTGCACCCTTGCACTAATGCATACATCTAGCTAACCAAGAACCAGGCCGAAGAAATTCTCAACAAAAAGTCCGGCTGGAAAGCCTTGACCGGCACAACCGACTTTGCCCAAATCGCCGTCGAGAACCCACCGACACGGGAACATAAACTGGCATTCGACATCCTCGTTGACCGCATCGCGGGCTACCTCGGCAATTACTTTGTAAAGCTAGACGGCCGTGTCGACGCCTTTGTCTTTGCAGGCGGAATAGGCGAGAAGAGCGCGCTGCTTCGAAAAGCAGTTATGGAGAAGTGTCGCTGCCTAGGATGTGCGGTAGATCCGGGGAAAAATGACAAGGGTGCAGGGGATGGGGAGACGGTAGTGGATATTTCTCGGGGTGATGACAAGGGTCCTAAGGTATTGATCTGTCAGACAGATGAACAGGTGAGGCATAGCTTATTTCTACCCCTTTGATGATACTTGATTGTGCATGTGAATGTGGTTACTAATGATGGATATATAGTTTGAGATGGCATACGGGTGTGTCAATCAGTATGAGAAGCCGTAGATAGCTACAGCTACCACCTTCTCAGGACAAATTTGGTATCTATTTACGAAGTAATGAATCGAGATAGGAAACTCGTCATAAGACCTCATGCCCAATGTAGGCATCCCTTTCCTCAGGCATGCAGTCTCCTGTATGGAAATAAAGTTCACTTCACCTTTCATTCTTCTAGATAAAGCGTAGTTCTCTACTAAGTAATCAGACATACTAATCTACTCTCAGCCTCCTAAACCGAACATAGTAATAAAGCAGAAGTGATGAACAACGACCACCTCACCCAACAACCGAGTTGAAAGAATGAAGAGCCATCTCCCAACAAACCCATCACATAACATTCCAATCACTTTAGTCACCGAAGGAACCCGAAACTCAGCCAGCCAGGTAGCCAACATTAGTTATCCGTTGCGAAAGTTGTAGTAGTCATTGAGAATTGAACAAAGAACTGGTAATTATTTACTGGTTAGTTAGGACTATACTAGGTATATACCCTGTATCCCTGCATTAACTTAACATCGTTAAGTATAAACCCCGCTTACTCCATACTCAATACATACTTACTACTTACTACGATCAGGTATTGTTTGACGAATCAACCTGATTGGCACACGTAGTATCTCTACAAAATAGTAGTAGATAGAATTTTCATGACATCGACATCTACCTCGCCAAGAACCGCCATCAAGTTCATGATGCTTTCGTTACTAGACACCACCGCTACCACCACTTCCTTAGTATGACTACTTGTTTGCACATTTGGCAAATCAATTATCATCTTTTACCCTTTCCTTCCCTCCTTGTGCGCCTCTATCTCAATCCTAAACATGGTATCATAGGATACGAAGCATGTCTTACACCACGCACTGTAGCATAGCGTCTCCAAAGAGTGAAACCATAATCACATCCCATCACATCACATCAATCACTACCACTACCACTACCCCTCCGTCTCGGACCCGACAGTCTGGACACTTCCATCAGGGATTAAAGGGGGGGCACGGTGGGTGGCGGGTAATTCTCTCCGCGGGATTTGAATTGTGAAAAATTGTCAAAGGGAGAAGTTTAATCTGAACACACTTTAGTAGTATCTGACTTGATTAGTAGATAGGAATGTGTAGAATGTGCTACTTAGTAGATAAAAGTGGCAAAATCCGGTGACGGAGGGGGTTGTGATTGGGTGGTTAGTTATTCTTATTTCTTCTTAGGGATCAGTGGTTCGGAGATACTCCATGAGAGGAATTATGCTAATAATTATGGTGTTGAGTTGGTAAATGATGTGATGACCCCGTGGGTGTCACTCACTCACTCATTCACTCACTCTGGCAGAGTTTGATAGGAAATCCAGTCAGACATTGGAAATCCTCTAGTCGTCGCTTTGTTCCCCCCCATCACCTGATCAGAAGGAAGAAAGAAAAGAAAGAAAAGAAAGAAGGAAGGAAGCAAAAAAAGCAAAAAGAAATTAGTTCGACCCGCGGAGTTGGTCACTCATCTCCGTCTGACAGGATAAACTAATAGTCAAGTCGTACTTTTGATAAAGAAAGATAGATAGATGCACGATTATCGGGGTCATTCACTCACTGCTCATGCAGCTAGAGGGTTAGCTGGGACAAGAATCTGGTCTAGACGGGGCGGGGGCCATCCATGTATAGAAACACTAAGCAATAATAATAATAATAATAATCATAAGAATAATGCTCCGGTTCTATTATAGAGGGCGTTAAGTACCCAGTAGTCTAGACTATCTACCTTACTACAATATGGAGTAAGTCAGTACTTTGACGGCAGGCATTGAATTAGTGGAGCACCTTTATGGCAGCTAAAATTGGATGTGTATAGCTGCCATATGCCGTGTGAAGGAAGAAGTGGCTCCACTGACAAGGGATCCAGCATCTACCTAAAGAGGTAGGTACTCATCTACTACTACTACTACTACTCCATACACATCGCGTAGCAACCATTCTAGAACTTTCTCAGTTAAGATCAATGCTTTCATGGCGAAAGAAGAGAAGTGGAGGCGGGGGGAGGGGGGACCGCCTCATCTCGGCGGAGATGTATGATCGCTCACTTGCGCCATCATCTCCGGGAAGATAGGTAGGTGAAATAACTCAGCTACTGTAAAGTATGATCTGATCTATCTATTCATTCACTACTACTTAACTATCTAGCTTTCTTCAGGAAAGGGAAAAAAAATAAATATAGTAAAAATAATAATAATAATGCTAGCTAGCTGGGTCCGCCACGGAGGCGACCTGAAGATCATCACTCCGAATCGGGAAGTCTGTCAAATGGGAATGGGATGGGATGGGTGCATGGACCGGGCCCCCTTCAATCCCTTCCCTTCCTTTCCTTCCGTTTGGGACGGATGGAGGGTCGCTCAGCATCCAGACTAACGATGAGGCTGACGGACGGGGCAAGGCGATCATCACGCATCAATCTGGTGGTTTTGCTGGGTGGCTGAAGAAATAAAAGAAAATATGTCTTTGAGGTGATACGGGGGGAGGAGAGACGGGGAGGAGAGGGATGCACTATGACCTAAAAAGGGGAATTGAATTATGGTCCGGAACGGGGAAGCGAAATGAGGTTCCAGAGTGGCGGGTGGATGCGTTAGTTGGATTGACATGGAACTTGATACATCCACCGTGGACCTCTTTCCCTTCCCTTTTCTTTCTCTCCCGTGACTTACTGTAGCTGTGTAACTATCATGCACCTATCCCGTCCGTCCGTCCGCGCGCGCCTTCCCATCCCATCTCTTTCTCTATCTATCAATCAATCTAGAAGATCATCCTCAGCAGAGGAAAAAGAAAATAAAAGATAGCAAGCACAGGAAAGAGAAAGAAAAAGAATACATTAACAGGGCGACACGGGACATCCTTATCATGTGAATCATCAAAAAGAAACAAATCCATCTATCGAAAAAGTCGCCATCATCCGTCCGCACTGTTATTGGGAAGAAAGGAAAAATAAAAAAACACATCTCCCCTTTCCTAGTATTCTTTCATTCAGTTCAGCCCCGTTCGTAATAATGAGCCGGGAACCCAAAGGGATTTGCAGACGATCCGATCAAGTTTCCCCTTCTAGAACGCCATCCCGTGGACGAGAAGTGGACACTAAAGGGAAGCCGGCTGTGATTCCGCGCGCCTCTAGTGCTGTAGTTCAAAAAAAAAAAAAAAAAAAAAAAAAAAAAAAAAAAAAGGGGGGAGGGGGGGGGGGGGGGGAAGAGAGAAAGAGGAAAAAGAGAAAGAAGAAGGGGGAATATCGTTACCTGGTTAGGGATAACGGGTTGGACGTGTTGTTTTGTTGTTAAACTGCAAATTACCTACTTGGTACGGAGTACTCTCTGTATCTCTCTCTCTGGATCAGTCAAGTCGCATGGATTCTAATTGCATTATTGATTTTGAGTTATGGGAGCAAAAAACACTAAAATGATTGACTAAATGACAGACAGACGGACAGATAGCTCAACTCAATTCTCAGCTTCATCAGCTAGTAGTTCAGCTCAGCTCAGCCCAGGAACTTTTGCCTAGAGCCTTGGCAGGTACCAGTAGATTTTCCGGCCTTAAAGTTCAGGTTTCACGCCACTGTCAAGGCACGTGTTCCACCTGGATGGATAGTAGTAGAACTGAAAAATTGCCGCCTTGATTGATGGCTAGTAGTGCAGATGATGAACAAGGGAATAATTTACTTATCAGCAAGGAAATACATGTACCCATAATGGCAATTTGATCATACACTCTAGCTCTTCGGGGATTTCTTCACTCCTAACTGACCAACTCAACGCACATACATATTTTACTGGGTAGAGACAGGTTAAGCTAAGCTACCATGTAAAATGCAAGACTACTATCCCTCTATGTAAAACAAGACAATGTCTTCACTCCCACTTCTGCACAGGGTAAATCGCCAAAAGTACTTTGCTTCTCTGATCAACAAGAGGTGAAAACGCTTTGGCATTAACCATAATCAATCTAGCAAATGCAATTCCCCCTGCGTCAGTCGCATAACCCTCGCCCATTCCCCGTCCCATAGTTTTCTGCAAGGTACTATGCAATGGCGAACAGACCCTCCCCCTCTTCAGAAGCACATCATCCATCCTTTTTCCCTCTTGGCTATAGTTTAAGTAGTACAGTAAGGGTAAGTTATAGTGGTTCGGTTTGGTTTTTCTTGTTTCACGGCAGATCGGTCGATCCTCTCTGGCTACTGTAATCTTCATCTGGGATGTAGCTCTGCAGTATGTATGTATGTATGTATGTATGTATGTATGTATCTAGCCACATGCAGTCCATACATCCATTTACCTCTTTCTGTGGCTGGAATAAAAATGATCTGCTGCAGAATAATCCCGATACCCGGCATACTATACAGCGATACCATGGCAAGTGGAACAGGGTCTCGATCATTCTGGTATGTTTGCTTACCACGGGGAATAAAATAATTTCGGACGTTGAGGTGCTGTACTATTTGCTAGAAGTAGATTTGTTTTGTTTTTCCTGCATGGCTAATGCATCTTGCCGATGCGGGCTGAATCATGTCCAGTCATATTTTTGTAGGGAAAACTAAACCATGCTTAACCCTTGAACCTTGAACCTTGAACCTGGTTGTGGGAACCTATGGACCAACGAATGAGCCATGCGGAGGTAAAGTGAAGTAAAGTACAGGCTCACTTCGTGGGTTAAGGTAATTAGTAGTACTTCTTGCTCCGTGTTCGGACTACTTCGGCCCATCCATTGATCAATCAATCAATCAATCTGCATCCAACCACCACCGTCGGAAAATCCTAGACATGTTTCGAACGAACTCCAAGATGAACGTTCACGCATGACAGGTCAGTTTTTCTCATCGCTGTTTCCTTGTGCGGGAATTATTAGTGGCTTGCAAGGAAAAAAAAAGTTCGAAATGATGGATCATGAAACCTATCACAATCATGTGGTCTGATCCCTGTTTACCATCTACCACTTACCAAAAATTGTAAGCAAGTAAGCAAGTAGCAGCTCGCGACGGACCCTCAATGATTGGATTGATTGATGGATGTATCCATTATCTATCCAATTCAATATATCCCCAACCGCTCTATTGAAGACCAGTCAGTCAGTAGTCGGACAAATAGATAGCCAGATAGCTTGAATAATCATCCCAACTATCTAT